AATAGCAATAAATGGCTTCCTGAACTTCATTCTACTACTGTCTTCCATGACTGTGTGGTTTCTTTATACTTTTAGGACAAAATCTCTGTTATCACATTCCATTCTTCATCTAGACCATATGGCATCCAAGATATTTTCATATAAGAGAATAAAATTAAGAATTTAGCAAGGTTCAGCTCTTGGATTGTTTTATGCACATTACCTGTTATACAAAATGTATTCCTTATGCTTGATTGTAAGGGGGTTTACAAAAAGCAATGATCTGTCATTTGCTATGGGTTTTTTTTAATCTGTGCTATGTTTTGAACTACTTTTTCACATACATAGTTCATGCAGTCAAGCGGCACCTTGATTTTTATCTGTTTTCCAATTATGTCAATGTTGACTCACTGAATTAATATAGCACTTAAAAGAACAAAATACTGTCCTCCAAAATCTATTCCTTTAGTTTGTGGAAGACTTCTAAGGTCTAATGGGCTACAGCTAAAGGAATATGCATCTGAAATAATGATATGAATAATAAGTGTATCTATAGTTAGTATCACAAAGTGGTATGTGTCATGTCTTCTTTACTTGCCTTAATGAGTGTATGTCCAAAAAGCATTGGGGTACTTTTGTAACAGGCTAAACAGAAATAGAAGCTATCAGAGAAAGAAACTAAAAACAAAGCACAGCAAAAACCAAAGGTTATGTACTTCAATTACAGTAGACCACAGAGTGATTCTTCAGGAAGTGCTCTTACATAGGCAGGCTGGCAGTCTTCAGCTGAGGTAGCCTATTGAAAACAAATTAAAAGATCTTCAGCTTTGTGCATCAGCAATCAGAGTGACTTCTCTGGAACTCTGGCAAGTCATGTTGGCTCTGGATTTGACATTTCTGGAAAGTTATGTAGGTGAATATTATTTGGATCTTGAAAATCCTCATTGGAGAGCAGAGAGAATGTTTATAGAAGAAACTTATCTCACACTTCGCTAATTTTTTTATAACCACTGTTGGAAATAAAAAGGCATGCTAGTGCTTCAGGAGAAAAAAAAAAGGCTAAATCCATTTTGAAAAGGAGGAATGGACACTATGAGAGAGAAGTAAGGAAGATACTTGTAGAGTGATTTAATCTGTCTGTGAATCATTATCCCAGCTATAAAATTGGAGTAAGAATAGTATAAATCTTCCCTTTTTTACATTTCTTTGTTCTGTCACTTTTGAGGATATTTTTTAAAAAGAACCTGGTCATTATCTGTGGCACTGAAAAGTTTCCTATTAGAGTACAAGTTCTTCAAAGCTTTTCTACCACTAGCTATCTACTCTTGAATTAGTTTGCTGAGTGCTCAGGGAATACAAGACCAGTTCTAAACAGATATGTCTGTCTTATTATGACAGGAAAGATTTTTCTCCACTTCTTTGCAGCTCTGATTAAAAATCATGCATGTTTGATTTTTAGACTACTCATTTGTGAAATGATTGGATAAAAGTTGATTTAGAAAAAAAATAGTAAGCTACAAAATGTGTGAAATAGGAGGCACATTTGAGCAGGCAAAGCTGTTGCAAAAGCTTGTCAGTCAAGTTCATTTTCTACATCTCAGGCATAGCCTAAATTTGTCTGCTGATTGCTTACAGAATTTCACCAAGACAGTGTATTTTATTGGAAAAATTATTTTCTTTAAGTTATAGAAATAACACTTCTTTAGAGCAGGGGAAAAAAAAAAAAACCTCTCTACCTATACTAACTCTTCAGAGTATGCCAATTTATTAGTGGATGTAAGGGTTTTTACTGAAGACTACAAGGAAAGAATGCTGTTATAGTGAATGTATTTCATTTTGACAGAGTGGGAAATTAGTCTCCATACATTCTTTACCAGCTACTTCATTCATTTGCATTTATTTCCTTACTGAAAGTAGCATGGTATCAATTAGTTGTTATTTTAACACTGGGTGCAGATCTCTTAGATGAGGTGTGCAATCAGGTCATGCCAGTGCACCTAATAGTAAATTTACATGGGCCTACTATAGTAAAGATAGTTTATTGTTACATTTTTTTATTGCTCTAGCCATTAGAATATTATTTCATGTCTGTGCACATTCTGTAAATGCAGAAGTAATGTAGCATCACCAGATAGTTGATATTAAAACTGTCTCTTCTGTCTAGCATCTCTGAACATACTGCAGCTTTTCAAAAGCATCAGTATCTTCATTCTCTGTGTGGTAAAGAACGATTCACTTTTCACCTTCCTGTATCACACCTTAGTGAACACTTTTACTGAGCATATAAAGCAGAGTGGCTAGAAGACGAACACTGAAAATAGCATATGTTGCCTTTGCCTTGAATTCCCTGGACTGATTTTCCTGGACAGAGTAAGCAGAAGTAGGAATCCCACCCAATGCTTTTTGCAAAGCCACAGAGCTTCTGCACAGATGTTACTAGTGACTAAAGCAGAACGTGCATCTCATTATATAGTGCTGTTTCCCAGAGGCTGGGCAGGTAAGTGGAATCATGCAGAGGCAGCTTTGTAACTTTAATAATAAATTTCCCTGCCATCTCACTGCCACAGGGCAGGCCAGTAGAAATACGTGTTCATCCACCCTTCCATTCTTGCATGACAAATCTATGCTAGTTTTGGGGTCTTGTACAGGAACATTACAAACATGTAGCAGAGCTGAAGGTTTAGACACGAAGATGAACATGTGAGTAAACCCATTGGTTGTGATAGGTCTCACCATGTTTCACTGACCTAAGATTAAAGGAGAAAAAGATGTGGGAGAGACAAATGAGGATATCAGGGAAAAGTGCAGTCGTCCTGATCATCTGAATAAATATTCCTTAATCAGCTAAGTGTACATTAGAAGGAAATTGGTGTTGTCTCAGGAGAATAAAAATATGATATTTGTACTGAAGTACCATTTAATGAATTTTTATATGCAGCATGTCCCTGAGAAGCAAAGCAGGAACAAGATTTCTACTAGTAGCACAGATATGGTGATGAGGGTCACATAAATGCCTCACCAGTGGTGGATCTCCCTATGCTACTGTAGAAATCCCCTATTTAATATTTCTATTGGGTGCACAGCTAAATGCAATTCAGGACTCTAGCAATGTTAAGCGGTAATTCAGGACTACATTTTAGGAAAATTAAATGGTTTCTGGGTTTAGCCTAGTTTCGTAAGGCAAAGATGTTTATTTGATCCATCTGTGTCTTCCTGTATTTTATATGTCCTTGCCAATACCTTTTGAATTTTATGGTTGGTCAGAGAACTTTCACACATTGCCTAATACTACATCCATTGTGTTCTATGAAAATAGGTGGTCAGACAGAGATGAGATCCTAAGAGTGTCCTCATATGAGCTCACCCCGTAATAGACACCAGGGAGTCCATACGAAGGGGTAATTTATGAAAATCCCAATTATGGGAGAAGATTCAGTAGGTGATTCCAATTTGTTAGATATCAGGGAAGCCAGTCATAAGACAAAAGGAAACCAGGCTTCATTAGTTTTGCTAATCACAGAACAATGCGGGTTTTAATTACCAGAAATATCTGCAATGTTAAAATTTGGAATACAGACAGACACAAGCATTTCTGTGATACTGAATGATGTCACAGTAAGGCAGAGTAAAAGCTGTGCATGCCATTTTTAGTGACTGATTGGCCTTGACAGTAATAATACCATTTAAAGCACTTTATACTTCCAAAGCCCATTACCACCACTAATTAATTCTTAGAACACCCCTGAGGGGTGCCAGTTGGGAGATAAGTTATAGTATTACTGTTTTAATGCTGGAAACGCTGAGACAGATCACTGAGCAGTGATAGTGCTTGGAATAGAATTCAAGTAAGAAACCTTAGTCTAGTGTCAAACTAAGACCTTGCTGAAGATGAAAATTTGCTGCTACACTTTAAAGCTATATTTAAAGATAACCAAAGATTCATAATATTTCAAATATTTTTGTTGTATTACTGAAGGGACATAAAAAAAACTGGTTAGTACGGATGCATGTGTATGGCATGGCTTGTAACAGATGTCTAGTCTGTACTAGCCACTAAATGTCATCAGAAAGTTTTTCACTACCACAGACTTCTGCAATCAATGTTAGGATATTCCAATAAAGTCACCAAAAGTTCACACTGAACAATAGTAAGCAGTCCTCATTGTGGCTTATAGGAATAAGCAGCAGTAGAGTTTCTTTTGCATTTCTGTGCAAATATATGCAGGATGGAGCTGGGAGTAAAAAATTTTATCCACTGGGAAATCTGCAGATTGCAAGTGAAGCCACCTCACTCTCTCATACATATAGTAGTTTCTCAAATCCACTCAACTCATGAGGGATTAGTAAACCACTTAAATTTGAAAGTAATTTTTTAGTGTATGGCAGTCTGTCCCTACTCCTTCTTACCAGGGAATGGAGGTCTTGGAGAAAAGTAATGTATCTTTTAAAGAAAGCAGCTACTTATTTCCCTAGGTTTTTCTGATTGCCTGTCTTGTCTTGCTGTGATGTTTGTGCATACTTGTTAGGTTTTTTCAAAGACTTTCTGCCATGTACTTGGAAATATTCTTTAAGATTTTCTCACTTTTTGTACTTTAACATTCTAGGCTACTACTATTGTGGTCTACTGTGCATACTACGTAGCATTCCAAAATGAATAAACCTGATCTAACTGTATCTTTCCTGAGATATTTGTTAAATAATAGCATCAAGAAGTACACGTTGTAAATTAATCAATTATTTTAATCATGAGTTCATGACATTCCTAAATACAATCCATATGTGTATATAATTCAGTCAAGTTAATCTCTTTACTTCCTCTTATATATATATAATTGTAGTTTATTCCCTGGCAATGTGGTATGGCCTTTTATTCCACTGAATGTTTTGCAAGTTGTTTGTATTCTGTCACTTTATGCAGTTAAGCAAGTGTATGGAACTCGAGGACAATGAATGAGACAGTAGTACAAATGTATGTAGCTTATGTATCATTCACATTTTGTATTTTATTATTATTTTTACAGTGAATGCCATAACTCTACAGATAGAATAAAAGTAAGAGTATGGGATGAAGATGATGACATCAAATCTAGAGTAAAACAACATTTCAAAAAGGAATCAGATGACTTCCTCGGCCAAACAATCATTGAAGTAAGAACACTGAGTGGAGAAATGGATGTATGGTATAATTTAGGTATGATTCTTACTGATTTTTTTAAAACAAATTTAGGCAGAATCTCAGCATCTGTAGATTTGGCACTTCAAAATATATAGCTTTAGTACCAACATACAACTTCAAAAATCTTTAATATTACAGGTTGATATGAAAATGAAAGATGCTTTCTGTTGTCCTTAATGGCTGCATGTTCTTGTCTGGAAAGGTCTTAAGAAGTATCATTCTTTAAACAAGAAATAAATCAACAAAAGTGTGTCTCTGAATATCTTTCCTTTATCTAAATCTAAGCATACAACTGTTCTTTAATTCTAAAAATCTCTTTGGGTGCATTACATGTTCTGGAGTAGCCCTTTAAAAGTTAATCTCCTATATTTGATAATAAAAATGTGATAGTAACATTTTTATCTAGGTTGCCTGCTCTGTGAAAACTTTGGGTGAATTATGTGACATAATTTTCTGAAATTGTAGAGCATTTGTTTCCTAACCAACAGTCCTTGTTTCCCTGTCTAGTGTTTCATTTCCCAGTGACATATATAGATGTGTCAGGGAATTATTTGATTTCTTATTGACAAAGAAAAGAAAGCCTTGCTTTATTTCATATTTATAATGAGATGTTTTTAAAGGTAAGATAACTGGGTCATTATGAATTCTGAATTTTATTCCTTCAAAAATTTCAGTGACTTAAACTGATATAAATAGTGATAAAAATTATTATGAAATGGATTTTTAAAGCAAATCTTGCTGATCCTATTTGACTGGAAGCAGTTTAATAATAACATTAAAAAGCTATATGATCTGCAAAAGGGGGAATCTAGAATGAAAACATTCCAATTAGCATCTAAAAAGAAATAAAATGGCTTGTGCTAATTCTAATATTCTAAAAAGAGCAGCGTATTTTATTCTAATACATACACACATTGACACAACTGCAGTATGACATATCATACAGAGGAAAGTGGAGTGAAATACTCAAACAAAACTATTGGATTTGTGGAATACCAATTCTTATTAATTGTACTGTTCATCACCACTCACATCACAGCACTTTGTGAAAGAATCATAAAAATTGTAATACTTTTTGATGCAGTTATACTGCTAGAGTGGATTGGAAAAGTGAAAACTGGAGTCAAAGATGAGTAGCCTCCACAATGAGTGACAGCAACTCAACGGACTAGTACAGATAGCGTAAACAAAGTTCTTCATATAATTTCTTCTGTAAGATTCAGCTTAGCTCTGTAATTGAGTTCTGCTAAGAACATTTTGAGTTTCTCTCAGACATAGTAGTTCAGGTTGTTGCTAAAGTCTTCATAACTAAAGGAAAATATTAAAAATGAAAATAATAATTAGTACAGATACCAGACAGAAAATGGAAATAATTTCTATTTTAAAGGGAAAAGTGTTAAATGAAGCGCTGTGCAGCCTGGTTTGAATTTGGCAGATAAAATAAGAAAAATTCTTTTCTTCATACTTCGATATTCTGCTTCATGGCCTGAACCATATGTGAGGTGTTAATAAAAATTCTCTTGTTCTCAACAGCAGGACTTTCTGGTTTTAAAAAACATTCTTATTAAGCTAGAATGATTTATGAAAACTTTTCACATGACATATATGTATTCGTGGTAGTTACTAATGTATTATTTTTCTGCTCTTCAGAAAAGCGAACAGATAAATCAGCTGTCTCTGGTGCCATTAGATTGAAAATCAATGTCGAAATAAAAGGAGAGGAGAAAGTTGCTCCCTACCATGTGCAGTACACCTGTCTACATGAGGTATGTTGGAGAAGTTGAAGAAAGCACACTATACAGAAATTACTATTCAGTTGTTGCATAGATAAGAAAAAAGGCTACAGAACATTAGAACACTGAAACAAATAACTGCTGCTACACCTCAGGACAAGTTTATTTTAGATTTCCCACTTTGTATTGCTGATGGCATATCAGGTTCAGAGTTAAAGGCAGAACAGTGTAACACCAACAGATCATTCCTCCCAGTAGGAGCTAGAAAAAAGAGGTGGAGGCAGCTAAATTCTCCCTGTACCGTATTTTGTTTTAGCATTTTGACGCTACATACATGCTTGCTAACATGAAGAAGATACAACCATTTCTGTATATTACAGAAATATAGCTATTAATTCTAAAGGACTTCTTTCCTGCAACATTAATTCATATTTTGGAGAGAGCAAGAGAAAACAGGAGAAGCACAGACAATATAACATTTGGTTCTCCTATCATCTAGATTGCTTTTGTCAACGTTGAAAAAAATCATCACTGATAAACCAGTGTGCCTTTCAAAAGATTTTCTTGGTATTTGATTTCTCTTCCCTCAAACAGTGATCCACATTGTAGTTCTATTCTAAAACTACAAGTTGTTTCTGAAAGCTGATAGATAATACATAGCTGAAAGTTCAGCACTAATATGTATCCACAAAATGCCATTGTTCACCATTTGTAAAACTGAATGTTCAGGGCATTTGTGCTCATAGATTTTGATCTGATATTGCAAATGTTTTGACCTGTGAAGTAAATGGCAAAATTCTGTTGCTTTAAGATAATCCACAAGGCAGCTACGGGCTAATTAGCAAAACTGAAATTATTTCAAAGTTTTGGGGTTTTTTTTTTGGTCACTGAAAATAGGAAATTAAATCTGCTGCTGAGTTTGTGGATACGTATGGAGCTAGGTAATCCGAGAAGCATTCTATGATATTAACGTCAAGTTAAATACTAGCTTTGGTCCTAGAGGTTGCTAAACCTAAACTTTATTGCATGCTTTTCACTACTTGAGAGGCTACTGCAATATTTCTGATGGGTTTCCTGTAACTTGCAGTTCTTAAATAATGAATTTGAAATTTATTGGTCACAGATCTAATTAAAGTTGAAGCACTATGTAGTGAGCATTATAACGTCATGATTTCATTCATTAGCAAGGGCATATGATAGAGAAGAGAAAGTTTCTGCATGATTTTATGTTGCAGTCTCTCTGTGCCAGTTAAGTGACATGACCTTATATCAAGGACATAGATCAACGTGCTGAATCATAAGCCTGCACTACTGGAGTTCCATTACAAAAAATGTGTTTAGAGTCTTGGGGTTTTTTTGTTTACCAAATTATGACTAGTTAGTGCCAGTCTTCAGAAAAAATTGGGAAAAAAAAAACCACACAAAAAAACTAACAATGAACATATTGATGACTATTACATAGGCTATACTTTCATTATGCCACTTAAAAGCCAAAAATTCCTATTTGAAACATTTCTTACATTTAGAATCTATTCCATTACTTGACGGAAGTTAAATCTAATGGTGTTGTAAAAATCCCTGAAGTGAGAGGTGATGAAGCCTGGAAGGTGTACTTTGATGATGCTGCACAAGAAATTGTAGATGAATTTGCGATGCGCTATGGAATTGAATATATTTATCAAGCTATGACGTAAGTATTATTATGTCTGGTTTTCTATTCTACTGTCAAGAATGTATTTGAGGGAAGTAATGAGTTCCAAGCCTTCATGTTTTCATTCTCCATTTCATTCCTATTCTTGATTTAAAATTCTTGTTATCATTTTTGTCCATCTGATTCTCATCAAAGTGCTTCTCATCTGCAGTGGAATTTAAGATATATTATAAGCATTTTATAAACTGTTGCTGGTATTACCACTAATATGTTTCTTAATCTTTATGATACTGATATGTGGCAAGGATCAGAAAGGCTTCCACTGTTCCAGATGGGATTGGGATGGTAGAACAGGGTTTCACAAGCTCTGTACTCCTTTCCAGGAGTACAGAAATCATCATGTAACACCAGCAATGACCATAGTAAACTTCCATAGTATATGTAAATAATTCATGCAAACCATTTTTAATGGAATTAGAACCTGTTACTACATTGTCCGTACTAAAGTAGCTGTCTGATCACTTTAGAACACAGCACCACTGAGCCTAGAGGCCTGGGGATACAAGAGCTCTATCATTTATTCATAATTTGTCCTGTGAAAAGTTTGCCAGTGAAAAGGACTATATTCTGCTCCTCCTGCAGCCGTAGGAAAGCAGAGGACTCCAAATGAGTCCTCTAAATAAGAAATATAGAAAAATTTTCCTGTAGAAAGCTGATATTATAGAATTTTTAATCAGAACATGTATCTCATTTCCTCCATCTCTTTACAGTACATTCTAAAAAAAATATCATATAAGTATGAAGGCACATAAACGTGAAGTTTTATTTTTGCTGCAGGATATAATGACACCATCTGCTATTGCAATGAACATGTCTTCCACTTTATGTAGCTCATTGTGAATTATTGTACTGTACATCTAATAGAAAGGTAGAGGATGTATTTGTAATATATATGTTTTTAATGCTCTTCCTCCAAGGACCTTAAACAACATTGCACAGAAGAATTAATTAAGCTTGACAGTTCCCCTGTGGTATTGTGTATCTATACTACATATGGAGGAACTCATGCATTGAGTTTCATGAATATTTTGGTTTTCATGTTTAGCTCCTCTTTAGCCATGTATGTCTTTACATCTTGATTAAGTTATGTTACTTATTAACTAGTATAGTATTATAGTTTTATAACTTCATTTATATTGGTAAGCCATTTTTACCAAAATGTTAATCTCTAAAATGATAGAGTTGTTCCAGCTGTATGTATCAGAAAGAATTCAAGGTTTTATGAGAGATTAATTCTCAAGAGGTATTAATGCCAAGGGAGGGCTGTTATTACTGTTTTCCTTAGGAAGTAAAGCAAGACTGATTTAGCATTAGTGTTCCCTCACAACTATAGCCCCAGTAGTTGGTTATCTCAGTACAACATGGCTGTATTTTTGATGGACAACCTCAACTGAAAAATAATTTTGAAGTTTCTTTTCCTTCATGTCTTGATGAATTCCAGTACTCTGAAATTTTCCAGAAAAAGTTTGCAACTGATTTTAGAAATTCAAATGTAGCAAAAGTCAGCATTGCAAAAATAGTGATATAATTGACATGTGAGTATTTAAAAAGCTTTTTCATTTAACAGTGTTAGAAATGGACAGGTTATATTTTCATATATAAAAATGCTTTATTTTTATACCAGTAAATAACATAACATACAGATATTCATGAAAAGGAAGTAAATTTAGTCTGAACATCTAACATGGAGCTGAGCAAGTACTGCAACACATTTTTCAGGAATCCTTACTCAAAAATTCTAAGCTATTTTAAGTTAAATGACCACTTTTGCTTGTCCTCTTTTTGTTCTTGCTTTTTTCTGTACATTTTCCACCAAATTTCCTTGCTGTTAGTGACTGCAAACCAAGCATTTGAAGGCAGGCGTAATAACAAAGTGAATTCGATACTGGTAGTCACAGGTAATTTACATAGGAAATAAAATCTAAGATTTCATTGCCCCCATGTCCATTTACATTTTAAAATGTTGCATGTTAATAATGAGCAATCCCTATTTGAGGGGCAGGCCACATACTGTTTAAGGCCACCATCCTGTTTAAGTTAGGAATAAAATCAATAATGAATGTAATCTCAAATAATACTTGGAGAAGAATATATAGTCATATACATTGTTTTGCTGATTCATCTGCAGACATGTCTCTCAGTAAGAGCATTCAGAATTTGAGGAGAATATTAGCGAAGACACTAGATCTGTCATGGGGAATTTTCTTTTGGACTGTTACCTGTTGGCTTCATTTGTGTTTATGAGATCACCTTTTTCTTCTGGAACAACTTTAATGGCTGGAAGAAAAAGTACAGCTTCTTGAATTGGAAAATAGAATGATCAGATTCCATTTGGTAATGATGTGCTCCTACTAAAAGAAAAGCAATTTTCTACCATACACAGAGAGAGAATTTGAATGTAATCACTTGGCCCAAAGGAATGTTGTGTAAGCATTTTAAGCTCGAGAATCTAGTTGCAGAATATTTCTATTGCATGTCTCATGATAACATTGTAAATTAAAATGTTTGCATTTGTAAATGCAAAACTGACTATGCTTTCATAGCCCATGATCCACACCCCAGAGAGCATCCACATGCTTCTTATGCACTATATCAGACTCAAGTGAGTTTTAGGGTATTGCTAATGAGTTGCTCTTTTTGTCTGAATGTAATTTTTAAAATTCATATTTGTTTGCGGGGTTAAAATTACCTATTATATAAAGTTTCAGTGCCAGTTAATGAGGGGCAGTCTCGACCCTTTAGGTATGGGTAGACAGCATATGCTGAAGTAGGAACATATGCCATTCTGCATTTCTGAACACAACGTAAATCTAATTAAGCCTCCCCAAAGTACCACTTCCTAGAACAATTTGGCATCCTGTTCTGCTACGGTAATAAACAACTCCACTTGTCTATCATTTCAGGTTCATGCTGGTGGCTCTGTCATCTATGATCCTCCTAGTAGACCCAGATGATTTGTTTCGGGCTCTCAAGTTAATATTTATTTATATTTATTGCTTTAAAGCACAGAAATAATATTTCAAAAGGATAGCCTTGATTTTCCAGATACACTGAGTACATTCATCAACCAAAATTGTGGCAGCCCAGCAAAGATAAACAAGAATTTAGATCAGTTTATTGTTTCAGTGCCTGACTGCTTCATGGAAAAATCAGTGCAATAGGTGACCAACTAAAAGTCCTGAAAACATAAAGCTCAAGCTTTTCTCCTCTCTCAACCAGCATCAGCAAAGAAATTCTGCATTTTCTGCGATTTAAAACATGTCAAGAGTGAGTCAGTGTTTGATTCTAGATCAGGAGATTACCTGTGCACCACTGAAGACTTATTGGAATGTGGATATCAACCCAAAAGATACCACATAAATGGTTACTTATCTGCCTTAGTCATTGTCCCCAGTGGGACCTTTTTCATTAAACTTAAAGAGAATTAATTCAAGTGTGATTGCACCTGTTGCTGGAGACAGAGACGACCACATTTTTGCAAGACTAAATATAGACAGTTCTTCCCTAAAGGATGCCCACTTAGAAGGGGTGTCTTACTCTAAAGATATGGATTCCAACTGCCCAGTTCCTAAGCAAGGAAATCTGCTTTTAAGTTACCAGATGTGGATTTCACGTGAATAGAAAATCAACCATTCACCCAAAACCAAAATACGACGAAAAGCCTGGTTGTGTTGCAGTAACTGCAGCTCTTTAGAAAGCCTTGACTGTATAGACTCTGTAACCCACTCTTCTTTCTTAAAATTATTATATTCCTCCACTCCTCATGGAGTCTGTATTGGGAAAAGAAATGAAAGACAATTACAGCCATTCTTATATGGGTCAGAAGAGATTTTTTTTTTGTGACGGATAGCAGCCAAATAGACACTGTTAGCTACCCGAATGATATGTGTATACTCCCAGAAGTCAAAGCACATATGCGTGAGAGAATAGGAAAGAAAATAGATATGACATAAAACAGATTAACAAAAGCAGAAGAACAGCTCAGTGATCCAGCTGGCCTTTATTTTGATGGCTGCAGTGATGGATGGTGATTTCTGCTGTAAATTCAATGTCTTGAAGGAATCATACTGGAAGTTTATTTACCTACATATATTAAGCCACCTCTCCACCACCAAGAAAAAAAAATTTCTTCTTCTCATTCATCTTTCAACATAACGTATTTCTCTTTAGAAGGCAAAAAGCAGAGCACGTATTGAAACAGTGTTTGACTAGACACTGGAATTATACATAATGTCAGCATCCAGGATTTACTGTGTAGTGGAGTCAAGTGGAATAAAAGCTCTATTAAGATCTTCAGTTCTTGCTGGCAAGAGTCACCACAGGTAGAACCTAATGCTTCTAAATCAGCGACATAGTTCTCATTCCAGCGGGTTAATGGGCATTAACTATGCCATCTTCTTCTCCTGCTAGTCTTCAATTAATGTGGCTGCATTGCAAAAAGCACACAAATCACCCATTAAAGTAATTTTCATTGATAGCATTTGCTTACTGAGCAGTTAATTAGCCTTCTTTCTTTGCTGATTCATGCTAGCAGAAAGATTGAAAGAATCACAGGCACTGCATGTTGGTCAGGAAATTGCATAGTAAGAAAGTTGAAGCAAGCAGGCCTGCTTTTAGACATGTGACTTTAGCTTAAACAATGCAATATTACTCTAAAATATGTGAGACTTAGCAACGGTTGCTGTGATATCACGTGCCCGTTAGAAATTGTTAATAACTCATGCTATTGGCTGCTGTTTTCAGAGATCTACAAAAACAAGGAAGGAAGTTTCCTCTTTGATTTCTTTATTTTAGCAAGCAGAAGGAAGCCAGGTGGCTTGCAGTTTTCTTACCTGGCTTATCAGCACTCTCAGAGTCATGACCCATATTGCATGGGATAAACTTAATAGGCTGTGTGAACTTTACATATTTTAATTAAATGAAGGAGAGAAGCAAAAATTCACATAACCTGTCACTTGACACACATGCTTTACTGTGGA